CACATTTTATTAACCCATGCAGTGGGGCAGCAAGTGTTAACTGCTCATTTATGTCTTCCATATGTGACACTATCACCTACTTGTTGTAAATCAGACTTGAATTGGGTGATTAGGGATTGCATATCTGAATTCAGCGAACTCCTTAAGGATATCAGCATGTCCCTAAGAGTGGAATCCGAGATGGGCTGGTGGGATATGGGGTAGGCCTCAATAGGTGCCACTAGTTCCCTCGTGTCATCCAGGGACGTACTAAGCAGGCTCACCTCCCTCTGATCCTCTCCAGGGGATGACATCCTCTGTCTTGCCAGATCTGGACTCCGGTCAGCAGGGGTGTCAGGCTGGGACGACCCCGAAGAGGAGCCTGAATCTGCCTGCTGCCCCGTCGAGGCCCCGCCGGGCGTACGCACTGTGGCTGATGTCTGCCGCTGGTCTCTTGCAGAGGAGCCGGCGCCATCTTGGCCGCCCCGAAGGAACGAAGAAGTCCGTCACTTTTTGCGGCCTCTTACCCCTTCGTTTCTGTGACCGTCTCATCCTCGGGGACCGGACGGGTCTGAGGAGGGTTCCGGTGTGGGTAAGTTATGCCCCGATCGTCGCTTTCAGTCGCCTCAAGGCCCGTTGCTGCACGGAGCTCTAGGCAGAAGCGTCCATGCAGCGCGCCAGCAAGCCACGCCCCCCCTCATTTATGTCTAAGTTAAAAAAAAAAAGTTATACTTACCCAATCCTTGACCCAGCCTTTAACCTTAGACTTCTGCAGCAGAGGGGAAGCGAGGCAGGAGGGACCGGTCTAAAGCTGGCCATACACCTTACAATTATCTGCAGATTTTCTGTGGTCAGATGGAAAAAGTGCAACAGACTGGCCCAGGTGGAGATTACTCCATCCACACAGTTAAGGTGCCCATACGCTGCACGATTCTCGTACGAGAATCGCGAGAAATCCCACGATCATACGAGAATCATGCAGTGTATGGAAGGTGTGCGACCGTTTCTACTGTACGGTTGCACGTCTTCGGTTGAACCAGCATGCTAGAAAACCCGCCGGGAATCGTACGATTCTCGGCAAGTTAGTGGCCTGCTGGTTCGACAACTGCCCGTTTGCAATCATCGTAAGCCCGCCCCCCATTACAGTCATCGTAAGCCCACCCCTCAGGGGGGCGGGCTTGCGATGATCGCAAGTACGATCTGCCTGTCCATGATGGGCAGATCTTATGTTTTTTTAAGCACTTTACAACCCTCGCAAGACAAAAGTCTTGCGAGGGTTGTAAAGTGTATGGGCACCTTTTAGTGTAGATGGAGGAATCTGTTGCACCTTTTCCATCTGACCACAGAAAATCTGCAGATAATTGTAAGGTGTATGGCCAGCTTTAGACCTAGACAAAAATGAGTAGTTAACTCATGCAGTGGTAGTCCCACTGCAAGGGTTAATAAAATTCACTTCATAACATGTAAAAAGGATTTCAAAAACCAAGACTGCTTTAGTTATACCATAAAAAGGCAACATTTATCAGGAACATTTAGACACCATTAGACATTTAGGCACCATATATATCTCGGCTTACAAATTCCCAAATGCAATTTTGGAAGGATTCCATGAGTCTTTAGATACTGAACACTTATCTGTGTGTGAACGGAAGATACAATGCACTGATAAATAGAGTGCCCAAGCTTTGATATTGGTGGAAAATATAAATGATCAAAAACACTGGAAAAATATCATGTAAACCACTCTCACTCTATACTTTACTAAATCACTAACTATTCATCTAAAAGGAAGAAGAAAAATGTTAAATATTTTAATTTAAAAAATCAGATAATTTATTAACACTGACTGAAGAAAGATTACACCAGCAGCTAGTGGCAGAAATATTAATCCCATAATTTACTAGATACCTTAAAGCTGGCCATACACCTATAGATTGTCTGCAGACTTTCTATGGTCAGATGGAAAAAGTGCAACAGATTCCTCCATCTACGCTAAACTGTGTGGATGGAGGACTCTCCCACTGGGCCAAGCTTCAGCATCTTGCTAGTTGGCCGTGTCTGCCTGGCTGTCTAAATACCTGAACAATCTGATTGGATGCAGGCATTGTTCAAGTATTTTGAGAGCCAGTGGGGCCGACTAGCAAGATACTGAAGCTTGGCCCAGTGGGAGATTCTTCCATCCCCACAGTTTATCCTAGATGATGGAATCTGTTGCACTTTTTCCATCTGACCATAGAAAATCTGCAGATAATCTATAGGTGTATGGCCAACTTAACCCAGGGCTAAACAAATCCCAGGAACCAGGTAGCCAGTGCTCCTTAAAAAGTACAGCTGGCTCTTAACTTTTGAGGATTTCTCTAGTTGTTGCCAATGGAGTTGGCTCCTAAAAATATTCTGCTGGCTGCTGAACTGACGGACTCCTCTATTTCATATTAATTTGTCCACTTCTGCTTTAAGCATAAAAAGTGCAAATCAGATGAAAAAGCACATAAATCAAGACAAAATGTACCCGCAAAGAAAAAACTAAATACACAGCGCCTGTTATCACTTAAAAAAGTTGTAAAGTCCCAGCATATACTATACAGTTATACCATCAGAATTGTTATAGGGTTATATAATATAGTTGTTTTGATAATGCAATCAATTCTGAAGGGCACCCCAGCACACCTTACTCAATGCACCTGTTTAACAGTTACAGACGGTAACATAGCACCAAGCACTGTAATATGCTTTCTTGCTAAAAATGGTGCATGCAACTGTTTTGATGTGTAAAACATGCTACACACCTGCCGAACATTGTACGATGCTCGGCGGGTTTTCGAGCATGTTCCTAAGATAAAAGTTGTGCGACCTTACAGTAGTAGAGGTCGCATGGCTTCCACACACCTTACGATAATCGCACGATCGTGGGATTTCCCGCGATTATCGTACGATTATCGCAAGGTGTGTGGGCACCTTAAGGCTGGGCACACACCGTACAACCATCGCAAGACTTTTGTCTTGCGATGGTTGTAAGGTAGTTAAAAAAAACGTACGATCTGCCTATCTTGGACAGGCAAATCATACTTGCGATGATCGCAAGCCGCGCCCCCCTGAAGGGCGGGCTTCCGATGACCGCAATGCCGAACGGGCAGTGTGCGCTTGCACACACCGGCCCGTCCGGCTTTTATCTTACGAACATGCTACATGTTCGTAAGATAAAAGTTGTGCGACCTTACAGTAGTAGAGGTCGCACGGCTTCCACACACCTTACGATAATCGTACGATCGCGGGATTTCCCGCGATTATCTCAAGGTGTGTGGGCACCTTAAGGAAGCCCATTTAAATAAATAGTCTGCCTTAATGCAATGCCCATTAACTAAGCAAAACGGTATCACTAGGCCCTTAAAGTTTCTCTTTAATTATATATCCAGATATTTTAAAGGGAACCTGTCAGGACGTGAATATGGGAGTTTCTGTGGCTGACCTAATTTTGAAAATCATGCTGCAAGGACATTATTCTAATCCTTTATTGGCTGCATGCTTGTTATATGTTAGCAAATCATGAAGAAAAGACCTGGACAGCTCTGGAACAGCAAGCAATGGCAGTTTTTTACAGTTCTGTCCTTACAAATGCATTGTGAAACAATTTCCAATTTGGAAGCAGTGATCCTGGTCAGGACACTATCAGCAAGGAGTTTGCATGTTCTCCCTGTGATTGGATGTGTTTCCACTCGGTACTCCGGTATCCTCCGACACTCCAAACACATGCTGGAAGGTTATTGAGCTCCTGTGTAAATTGGTCCTGTATGTATGCATGCATGCGAGATAGGGATCCTAGATTGTAAGCCCCTTGAGCGCAGGGACTGATGTGAATGTGCTCATGTGTAAAGCGTTGTGTAAATTGTCGACGCTATATAAAATACCTGCAATATATATATACTGTATATATAAAAACTGTGACTTGCTTCAACTTTCTATGAAGCTAGATACATGATCAAACATTTCTAACGCCTTTAAAACATTAGAAAGCGTTATATGGGGTTGTTGCACAATAGCATCCACTGTGTCTACAACAGAGATACCATTTTTGTCTGAAGAGGGGAGCTAACGTTAATAGAAAATGAAAGCAGTAAGAGGACAGTCTCGTGCCATTTATCTGTCATTTACAGTGTAGGTTTGAAGATGAGTAGTTTCTATTGGGCAGTAAACACAGTTTCTGTAAACTTACCTTTTTGCGACCGGCTACCTTGGATCCTACGTGGCATATTGGTCCACCCACCTCCAACCACACTGCAATCTGTTTGTTATTCAGGCAACACGGCAGCACCTCATTTCCCTCCAAACAGCTTCCCAGTGGTCACCATCCCCTCAATGTGGGCAGTATGCTCATGATTCAGCTTATTGGCATCCTGGTTGCCAGTTAACACCCTCTGCTTTTTCTCCTTTCTTCCCAATTGGTCCTTCCTTCCCAAGTATCTGATTTAAGCCCCACTGACCCTGCCCCCAACACTTGTTATAGGTTTTCTCTTGTATCCGACTACCTGCCATGTTGCTTTTATTTGATCCACTGAGTACTGATCCTTTCCCTGTTTTGACCACATTTTCACCTGCCGCCGGAACTGACACTTTGCCCGAATACTGACCATGTTTTTGCCTGCCGCTTGAACTGACCCTTTGCCTAATGAATGACCACATCTCGGCCTAGCACCTGGATAAACTGCGTTCCTCCCATCCTCTGTGGGCAATATACTCCTAGTACCAATATATACCTTAATCTCTTATTGCTCTGCTTCTAATGTAGTCTGGGCAATAAACATAGCATTGTGTATAAGTCCTTGGAGCAACAAAGTACTGGTAGGCCTGCTTGACTTATTGAAATGGGGGCTGCTAAAGGTGAAGCTACATGAAGCCATCTATATTCACTTACCACCCATGCAGGAGACAGCATTAGCTAATAAAGAGGATTTAATAAAGTACATTTTCAACTCTAAAATCCTCAACTTCAACCTTAATAAAAGTGTTGAAATCTGTGTGCTTACTGTGGCTGTGACAAGCATCCAGGAGCAATAATCCCCTCATTTTCACCATCAATACGCAGGTCTGTGAGTTCATCCATGTTGATCATCACATCACCTGTGTGTCCAGGAATACAGGGCAGAACAGACAAGATCTTCTCCACCAGGCTGTCTCCATGATGTCCAACAATCCCTAAAACAAAAAGGAATTGTCAACTAAAATGTTTATTACAGCAAAGAGTTTATTGAAGAAGCACATCCTTGGTGAGCTTTTTAGAATAACAGACCTTTTTAGATAAAAATCAAGTAATTTTGTGTGGTTGTCTATGTATGCATTGTAAATACTGACAAAACACCACATTTGTTGCTATGTGAAGAGCAACATGGTAGGGATCTTTGCTGTGTAACACTTGAAGGATCCAGCAGAGTAAGTTTTCAATAGGGTGGGTCATCCGACATGAAGTGCTGTACTCTATTCCCCTTAGTGTATATTCAATTGAAATAAAAAGGAGCATTTTAGCCTGTTCTACAGGAAAATGAAGGTTAACATATAATGGCATTGAAGGTGGCTAAAACCTGGTCTACTCCAACTAAAACACAAATGTGACTTAAATGCCAGCTTCCGCCAACTGAAATTTCAGTTTTGGAGTAGTAGCTGGCTGGCTAAATTGCTCATTGAGTTCAGTGTAGGGCTGCAACAACTAATCAACATAATCGATTATAATCGATTATTGAAAAAGTTGTCAACTTTTTCAATAATCGATTAATCGGCTTCTGATCAGTTGGCCCTGTTACCAACTCCACTGGCCAGTGTTTTCAGGTATGGCATACAGCTGTAGCCAATAAAGATAATTGAACACGTCAGTCTCTTCCAGACCTGATGTAGAATCAGGGCTGCCTTATTGCAATACAAATTATAGGAAAGGTCGAAGTGGTCCCTAAAAGAATGAAGGAATGCCTCAACCTATGTTTCCTACTTTCCAAAATGGGCTAGTCCGGGTTTGGCTAAACTTATGCAGTGGCTGACCAACTCTAGCAGTTTGTGTTCCCTTTCTCCAGTATAAGATAAATGTTTTATGGCTGGTTTCTACATTTGTTAAATCAGACCAAATTTAGAGCTTATACCCGAGATAATTTTTTAATCCTGGTTTGCAGACATGTATGTGTCTACACAGAACTGATGTTCAGTGCAGAATGCAGACAGGTTGAATATAAAATGGCAATGTTTGGTTTAGGATGTAGGCCCACATATTTCAATGCGTCGTAAAGCATATTAAAACTCACATTTTAAGGTAGGTTCGTGCAGTGTACTATATGAACAATACATATGTATTGTGGTGTATCGTTGGTACCCCAATGCAGTTAATCTTTTTCCAATGGCGAGGCTTATTAAATTGGACCTTGCACATCAGGCAAGGTCTGCTTGTTTAATGTGACCCTACTACCCCTTTCTTAAAGGGTAAGTTCACTTTCCCACAAGTTTGCTTTTGCTCCCACTACCCTAAGCAGGAAATTGTGTGGGAAAGCTCCCTACCTTTTAAAACTGCATAAAAGTGTAAAAAAAACAACCTGTGTGGTGGGAATAGTTAGACAATACACTCCCCTTCCCCCCAACTTCCATCCTACAGGAGATGTCATCCTTCTGTTAAAAAGATTCAGGGAATGTGGAGTAGCCCAAATCTCATAAGCAGACACTGCAACAGATTGTAGAGTCATATTTTGATTGCTCGGTGTCCTCCCTGGGGAGATTTACCCATGCCCTTTCCATTTGTCCTGGCGACCACTATAACCAGACCAGAATCACATAAGGAAATTCTAAATTTCCCTGATGTCTATGGCCCATACCATGTTCATTGAGAAGCTTGCAGCTTGTAAAGATGTTACAATGAACACATTTAATGCTATATGGACCACTTGGACAGGTTGCTTTCTTTCCCTCAATTTCCACGGAGACTGCCTGCACCTATGACCAGTTCAGTTCAGGGTGCTACCCAAGCACCAAGGTAGTTCATGCTGCTTTCCTTCACACTCCTGCAGTCCATCCACCCTCAAACTCCAAGTACATGTTTCCCCCTTCCTCGAGCGGTTTTCAGATGTTCAGTCTACCCGTGACTCAGGATCTGTTGCACCACCTAAACCTGTGATATTTCATAAAATATCACAATGGAAAAGAGTTGTTTTTTTTTTTTTTTTTAGATCTATGCATACGATTTTCCTTTTCTGTAGTATCTAATAAAAATGCATTGAACAAAAAGATGTCACCAGAAAATCTTCCAATGGGAACAGCTGTTCTATGAGAGCAAGAGAAGATTTCCCCTCACTTCCTGTTAAGAGTTTCTGTTACCTCTACCCAACGAGATTGAGACAAAAACAAAAACCACACACACAGGTTTCAATCATTAACCAACTACTGTTTCAGCTATATCTTTAGTGACTGCTACAGATATAGTAATATGACAAAGTGCCAGAATACAGGAGGTCTACTAAAGGAGGTGTGGGGGCCAGTGTGAGATGGGCACTAGGCTAGAAATGGCAGTATACCCATTTTTATGGATGACCAGTGTCACATTGAGGCATGCCTATGCCTGGGAAAATAGTTTGGTATGTGCACAGGATCTTTCATGGTAGTTTGAAGAAGATCCCGGTAAAGCTTTAAGTAATTTCTGGCACCTTATGGTTCTTAGGGTACAGATTCACTTTATGCATAGTAAGTTTACTGGCAGTGAAACATCACTTCATGATCACTTGCACTGACAGTCATACACTTTTCAGAATCCAATGAGCCCTAAATACTTTACTGTGAACTGATCTCATCTTAAATAGCATTCATTCACACAAATAAAATCTTCAGGCATTTGGGCTCTAAATTAGGTTGTGTTCATTTATTTAACTGAGAAACATAAAAAGACAGAATGTCCAAACACGAGTAGAATAGGAATATGTTTATTAAATCACATAAACATTCTAGTGTCACATAGTGACAACAAGATACACCTAAGAGGTGCAAAACATTTCTTAATGTGTCAGCAACACAGCAAGGTCAGACATATGTACTTGGCAATCCCCAAGCTAGTTATCAACTGAATCTGCCTTAAAACTGTATTTTGCTTCTTCTGTTGCTCTTTGACAACAACTTCCACAGCAGTGCAGCAGTTTGCAAACTCTGATCAAATTGTACTGGAGTAGCCATAAACCTAGACATCTTATTATGGGGCTTTCCATGTTGCTTGAACAATCTATTGCCAAGCCCAATGTGTACTTGTCATGCACATTCCCACTTTCAGAAAATCACTGTTTGCACAGTATTGGAGGGTGACACTGTAGGGGTACACTAGGGAAGGTGGGCAGCGCTGTGAAGATATTAAGTGGCACATTAGGATACCTGCTACGTAGCTTGGCCATTACTTTTCTTAATCACAAATCATTACAGGTTTACTAAAAGGGTCTATTGGGTTGCAGAAATACATTTATTCATGTACTCCTATGACCCAAAGTCAGCGGATAGCAAGCTAATGCAGCTACCTGCTGACTGCATAGAGCCACGCTGCATTCCAAAGGGTCCTGCCAATATTGCTCAGATCCACCCGGCTGTCTAAGTGACAGCTGGCTCTGACTCTCTAGATCCAGCAGTGCCTGTCCACCCCCGTCTGTCCCTCCAATGAGTGCTGAAAGATCAGAGAGAGGGGAGGAGGAATTCCTGCAGAAGGTGGTGACTGACAGTCACAGCTCTGTGCGTGGAGAAGGCAATGAGCTGAGTGATCAGAAGTTACATGATTGCTTAGTTCTCGGTATAAAGCAGCTGGCATACAGTATTCCACACTGGCTCTAAGCAGCTCTCTGTTTTGCTCTCCCTGCAACTCTTCTTTAACCCTGCATTGTATGTGGAGGAGGCAAGTGTGTGATAGCAGCCAGGAGCACCTTTGAGGCTTCATGGGAGAAAAGTCACATGGATGGAGGGAGTCTGCTGGAAAGAAGAGTAACACAAGTGGACACCCCACACTTAATGAGCAATTAGTCCTCACGGTGTGTGTGTGTGTGTGTGTGTGTGTGTGTGTGTGTGTGTGTGTGTGTGTGTGTGTAAGACTGAGAAGTTGATATACACTAATTTCTTATTTCCACAACCAAAAATTTGCTCCTTAAGTATTTCTGAACAAGTTGCAAAACAAAAAAAAGTAATTTTGTAAAGGTTTGTGCCATCTCATCAGGACACCCCAAGGTAACCTGGTTTCCTTTAGACGTCTTCATCAGACTGTGGCATGATACATAAACAGGCGCTGATCTGCAGACTTCGCATCCAGTGACACCGTGTTGTTGTTGACATCTGCCATAACAATGAACCAACTTTCCTATTCGATCCAGTATCAAAGTCCATCTCTAGGGACCACATTTGTTTTTTTTCTGATGACTTCATCCACAGGGAACCAGACTACTGAGGGCCTGTGCCAGGCACTCAACCCATACAATGCTGACCACTAACAAGTCTAGAACCCAGCACAAATGCCTGAAGGTAATCCTCATACCCGTCACATCCAGAGTCCTGTCTACGAAGACCAGTGATGCCTTGTTCTGTGCCTGCTTCCTTCGGTGCTTGGCCTGAGGGTAGTTGGCCAATTCTCCAGCAATGATCCTGCTGAGGTGACCCACTGAAAAACATTCCTCTCTGACCCCGATGCCCTCCATCACCTGGTTGAGTTCAGACACCAGGCTCCTAATCTGCGTCTGAAGCTCCGAGGGCAGGGAAGGGAAGTCCACGTCCGCCAGGGCTGGGAACCTCTTCTTGTCAGGCCGGCTGCGGTTCAGGGCTTGCAGGTCTTGATCTGGCAGGAAGGGGAAGAGGGCATGAAAAGCCGGTGCCAGGAGGAGATGAGGGCTGATCGGGGCCAGCAGCAGAGGAGCCCACAGTACCTCAGCGGTGTAGCCCATGTTACCCATCCACTGACACAGCTTCTCCTGCATCTGTTCCTGCACTGGCCGGGTCTCGGCCTCCCCGGGGCTCACTGCAGTCACCACAATGCAGTACTGGAAGGAGCTCTGGCTCACCACATCCCGTATAACATCCAGGGCCCGGCCCCGCAGGGGGCTGCTCACCACAAACACGGCTTTGGGCTGGTTGGAGGCTCCGGACTCAAAGCTGGAGAACTCCTTGACGTTGAGCGCCCCGGCCGCCAGGAAAAGCTCCGCGCCGCCGCACCAGTGCAGGATCTCCGCACACGCATCGTCCATGAACACCACCGCCCGCCGGGACTTGGCCACCACCGGCTCCCATACCTTCAAGCTGAAGGCTGCCAAACCCGAACTGTTAGCCATACTGACAGCTAGACTGACAGCACTGAGCGCGCACGGTGATGACGTTTCACAACGTGGCCGGGCGCGAACGCTATACGTCATCACAAACACATCACGCGTGCTGTGCTAGTTGAAGCGGGCTCCGGGTGAGGTGCTGCTAAAGTACAAACCGAGAACTGATGATCAGTCCACAGCCATTTACAGGCACAGTGCCGGCCCGGTTCTGAAGGCTTGTCAGCAAATAACTGTTCTTAATTGGTTGTGAATATATATAGATACACACACGACTTCCAAATGTATTTACTGTAAAGAAGTAATAAAAATGAGAGAGTAAATGTAAACCCGAAAGATGTATTTTAGTCTACTGTTGTACACGTACGTTTTCATGTGACAGCTGTAAGAGGAATATGTGGTGTTTTCTGGCATGTGCAGCGGTTACATCATCGGGGCCGGCCAATCAAGCAGTCACAAAACGTCAAACCCTGAAGATGGAAGCGCCAGCTAAGGAGAAGCACAGCGCTGGAGGGGATTGCTTTGGCACATTATGGCTAAAGCTCCTGGGGGCTCTACCCCCACTTTACTTCCGCTTTACAGCAAAACTCCGGGCAAATCAAATCTTAACACTTGCAGTGGGACTAGCCCTGCACTGCAAGGGTTAAAAGAGAACTATGGGGTAAGCGTTTTTCTCCATAGTTCTCTAGGGTCATGGGAGGACATAAACTAGCATCCTCCCGTGACCCAAAGCTCAGTATATTCTGCGATATACTGAGAGTGCTGCAGCCGGGAAGGATCCCAACAATACTATCGAGATCCAACCAGCTGCGTGAATGACAGCTGGCTCTGCCTATCTAGAGGCTGTGCCTGCCCCTCCCCTGTCTGCTTCACTCTGCGCTAGAGGGGAAATCCTGCAGGGAGACGATCGGGAAGTGAGAGAGCGGTGGTATGTTACTGCTCACTTCCTGATCAATGGAGACGACCTGTGACAGCTTTTTTATCATAGATTGGTTCTAACTGTGAGGATGAGTGGAAATCACTCACCTCATAGTTCTCCTTTAAGTAATTGTTTTGTCTAGGGGGGCTAAAATAAAGTTATACTCACCTGAACCGCAATCCCGGCTGGCTCCTACACTGCTCCCTTAAGCCTCTCTCCCCCTCCTCTCCAGTACTCTTAAGGTCCTTGCAAAAGCGCGCATAGCTGAGCATGCCGAGATGAAAAATGTCACCTTCAGCCAATGGGCTTGCATGAATAACCCACATGTCAGTACGCATAAAGTCCATTGAGTTAGTTATGTGAGCCGATTGGCTGAAGATGAAGTCTTTCTGGCTGCGCTCAGCTCGGCGCCTCACAGCTTTGCTTTGTTTCGCACTGCTTCACGTGTCACAGGCAGGGTTACACTGCAAATGCTAGTGACAAGAATCAATGGATTCTTGTGGCAGAAATCACCTGTGTGTGTGAATAGCTGTGGCGGGGAAGCTTTTATAAAGCAATGACAGGCTGACAGTGGCCACAGCTGTCCACATGCATCTGCACAGCCAGTGATTACATATGGCTAGGGACAGATGACTGGCCTGGACACAGACAGACTGCATTCAGGAACAATCATCTGTCCCTAACCACAAGTAATTGCTGATTGTGCAGATGCATGCTGCAATCGTGTTTGGGGTCCCTGGCCTTTGTGTACCTCCGAGATTCCTGCGATGACCTGACTCCAGTACCATGTGTATGTTCCCTGGTATACATGTAATCCCCACTGGCTGTTCAAATAAGTATTTTAGCACCTGGTGCCCGGACATGGGTGGATCCGTGGGACTCCAGGATTTCGTTTATGTCCCTGGGCAGTCTCGTGGGAAGCGGGACAGTTAGGAGGTATGTGAATCTAATACTGCCAAATGCTGAGCTGTTGCATGTAAAATAAGATATTCAGACATGGAGACCATAGTTGCACTTAAATTTTTTTTAAAGTCTGCAGTAGGGATGAGCTTTAGGTCTGGGTTGAACTCATGATCAAACCCAGGGGCGTAACTAGAAATCACAGGGCCCCACAGTAAAATCTTGTATGGGACCCTGTGATTTCTAGATAAGTCCACCTGATAACCCAAACAGCCCACCTGAGGGTGACCCTGCAGAGCCCACCATAGATTCTCTATGGTGAGCTCTGCAGGGTCTCAGGTGGGCGGTCAAGCCCTCTTACCTGTCTGGCCGATCCCGTCTGCCTCCTTCTCCTCCACGATCGCTTGTGGGCCCCGCCTCCTACGTCACTTGGCCCCACCTCCTCGATCACCAGGCCCGCCTCCCCATCGTTAAGACCTACCTCCTTGATCGCTGGGCCCCGCCTACTCCATTGCTGCCGACAACGGGCCCAGCCACCTCCCCCAAAGCTGGTGGTTGTCATCGACTCAGCAGCTGTGAGGAGGTACGCGCCGCTTCACATGTGAATGACTGCGTGTTTCTTCTCACAGCCGCCAGTGACAGCCAGCAGCCTGAAATGCAATGGCGGCCCGCACGGCATCAGGAGGATGTCCTGCACGGGGCCCCATAGCGGCCGCCTGGGTTGCTATGGTGATTATTATGCCACTGATCAAACCTACCCGGCAAACCTCTGCCTGTGCCCCAGCAACCAATGCAGTGTGCCCCAAATAGTGTCATTGGTTGCTAGATACTGGGCCGTGCAGCATCATTGGTTGCCATGACACAGACAGCCCTCCTGTGGCATCATTGGTTGTTGCAACCACCTGTATCCTAGAAACCAATGAAGCTCTGCATCCCAGCCACTAGCGTCCTAGCAACCGATGGCGCTGTGGGCGTGGCACAGCATCATTCAATTCTAGAACTTAGATGGCCCTGGTTACGTTTTACTTAGGCGTTACCTGAACCCGGTTTAGGGAAAGTGCAAGTGAACTGAACCCAGGCACATCACCAATCTGCAGCCTTCGTTGGAATAAAACCTGGCAATCCTGCCATGAAGGTACTTGTTGAGTGCAGGTCACATGATAGGTGGATGTGCAGGTCATGTGGAAGATAGACGGGGTCAAAGGGCATTTCTGTGCTGCATTATAAAGTCAGCAACAATTCCAACTTCCTTTTACAGGATTACAACGCTCTCTCCCTGCATTAGGGTTGCCACCTTTTCTTCAAGTGAAACCCGAACACTCAGGCGACGCGCAGACATTTTTTGGGGGAGAATAAGTCGTGGCTTATTCATATGTAAATAGCGGCACCCATTCGTATGTAAATATCACAGTTGAGACTGTTTTCAGTGGGGGGCCAGTAGCCCCTATCTTAATTTTGGTTTCCCGTCTGCCTGACATCTTGTGTCCGGGTTTCTGATGCCATGAAACCCGAACACAGCATTCAAAACCTGGACTGTCCGGGTGAATCCTGGACAGGTGGCAACCCTACCCTGCATACTAATTGTACTTCTCCATTATCACACTGGCTTCTGATGAAAATGACAAGTGACCATTTCAACACACATCACACAGCCATGATCCACTGTTGTCACCAATAGGAATACCTCCCTGACGAATATCATACAGCCATCAACAAGAGGTAGCTGCAGGACACCAGTAGCACTTGCATACAAAAAAAGATGAAAACAAGTATTTGATTAAAAAAAAAGTTATGAAACATTATTTATGATATAAAAGTGAAGCAAACAAAATCTGAAGCAGTTGCCCATGGCAACCAATCAGCTTCTTTCTTTAGTCTGTTCAGTTAAACTTTGAAAATGAAAAAGAGAAGCTGATTGGTTTCCATGGGCAACTGCTCCGGATACTGTCAGCTCCAGTTTTGATAAATTCCCCTCATAATATTTTAACAAACAAATTGAATTAAGCTAGGGTTTATATGCACTTTAATTCCCAGCATACAACGCCTCAACCGTTCAGCACAGCTGGAGAAGTCTACAGGTTATTTCGCTCCATGAGCTGAGCATGCGCATATTAACACCCCGGGAAGTTACCTTTGCCCTTAGATAACATGGCCGCCCGCAGTCTGTCTACTCTGTCACGTGATGTCATAGAGGTTCTCCAATCACTGGAAGGTAATGCGCGGCTCTGGCCGTCACAGGCTGGCCAGATCTCGCGATAGCTGTGTCTCGCGCCGCTGCAGGAAAGATGTCCGCCAGCGGAGAGGTGGTGGAGCGGATGGTGGTTTCGACGGAACTGAGCGGCTCCAGCGCTGCTGTCGCTGTTTCCTCTTCCACCTCCCCGTCCGCAGCCGCTGCCACCAGTACCGTGACCGCTGGCGGAGGCGGGGATGAGGAGGAAGAATGGCTCTATGGGGGTACGGGTTGTGCTGTGTGGGAGGAGGGGGGGACTTGTATTGTCACCTGTATAGAGGGCCCTGAGCCAAGGAGGTCACATGACTAGAAAAAGACCGTATATGTACGGCTGGAGGCGTCAGGAATCGGGCCGGCGTCATCATCTAAGAGAGTGGCTTTAACCTGTGACCTCCTGTCTGATCAATGGGTGCAAGTCACATGGTAGAGGGGGGGGTATGGGGTATCACGTGATATTTCTGTGCTGTGCATGTTTAGGTTTTATAATGTGTTTTATAAACAATTGATTTCTATCTATGGCTGGATTGCTGCTCTGTCTTATGACATGTAATATGTGGTGATATATGAATGGCCAAGGGGAGAGCAGGGCTGGACCAATGACTCTGTCACTTCTGTGTATGAGAGCTACCGCCACCATTCACTCAGCAGCTGGAGGTGCAGTGAGAGCTACACTATCCGATGTAAATAGAGATGTCGAAAGGCATAACATTGATCTGGCAATCAGGAAGTAAAAACACAAAATGAAACATGTGCCCGGAGTTCAGCTTTAAAGTATCTTTTTAGTTTTGGATAGAATAAGCAATGGATAAAAGGCTTATCTTTATTTCTTTGCTGCCACCATAACAAGTGTCCCCATTGAAAGATTTGTCCTCTTCCTGTTCTGTCAACCCAAAACTTTGGATATTTCCCCTTACTTTCAGTACTGGTGACTGGCCATCAGGACAGAATGAGAAGGTGAATATTCCCAG